TCTACAAATGCGGCCTCAGGAGGAAGCACCTGCTATTAACTAATCTCAGGGCAAGAAGTAGCCTCCTTTATTCTGCTTCTGTTCACCAATGAGACCATGATGAACATGATACTGTGTTTAGTAGCACCTGGTGCGCGCAACTGAGTCCATCAGTAAAATGTTTAGTGTGGTCACAGATCCAGTGACTGACAGTGAGAGCAGCGCCCCCTGCTGGCTATGAGAAAGGATGCATGACTTAAATCCGCGTTTTACATCCAGACTGAAGTAAAATCACATAAAGTAGAACAAATGTGCATTCTTTTTAATGGCCAGCAGGGGGCGCTCTGTGTGGCAGCAAACCCTTCTGTTCCTGTGGAAATCTGTTGGAAAACGGATCCTCTGCTCTGATCCTAGTGAACACTTTCCTGATGAGATAATGAACTTCTCTGCTTTGGCTCATTTTGAAAAAAACATCAAGCCCATCTTATAAATTTTATTCCCTCTCAGAGTCAGAAAATTCGATCTTTTAAGCCGTCTGTGGTAAAACATTGTTTTAAAAGGTGTTTTTGTGAGTGAACTTCTTCTCTCTCTTTTTGAGTTGAGCCTTTTTAACCTTTCACTGTCTTTGGGAGCCGTGAGTGATGAAAGCTTGTGGTGAAGGGCAAGTAGGGACACGCCGCGGTTTGATTCATTCGTCACTGAATGATTTACTTATTTGAAGGACAGGCGCCGATGTGGTGAAGGTCACCTGAACGCGGCGCAGAAGGAAAAGCTCAGCCTTTCTCAGCGCTTTATCAGAGGCAGAAATGTGTTGCTGTGTCCTTCCCTGTTTGCGATGTAGACAATGCCGCAGTTTAATCCCGCGCTTCTTTTGTCCGAGTTAAAACTCGGAGCGAAGGAGGAATCGCCCCCCCTGAGACGTTTCAGTCGGTGATGTAAATGCACGGCGAGCTCTGCAGATAATAAAACGCTTTAGATTTTGTTTCATCTCCTCTTTGATCTCCAGACTCAACACTTGCGTCGTGCAGCTGATGGTTAAGGCTCTGAAATGCCCTCATTCTGCTCGTCTAATCTGCATGTTGACTTATGAGAAATCACACAGTCGCACCGGGATCAGGCTTAAAAAACTGTGTACTTTCTTTCTTTCAGAGCTGTGCATTTCGATTTCCTGCACTTTGTTTCCCGCCCCCTCTGAGGACCTTATTGTGTATTAAGGAGATTTTCATTAGGTTTTATCCTGCAGCTGTTGCTCTTCAGCAGGTTCAGACGCAGGTTAACAGGCTGCCGAAAGGCCGCAGGAAGTTTTACCGCATTAGAGGCAGGAAAAGTGGATTTACAGTGTGGTTATATAATATGAGCAAATACAAACAGAGTCCCAGAGGTTGTTAATGTGCAGACTGCTAGCCATGCTAGCGGCTGAGCTCTGTGCATATCCATCACATAGTAACACAGACTGAATAACAAGTAGAAGCTCTGACATAAAATCCAGTCTATGCTCGTGTCTGTTTAATGCCATCGTCAGGTCAACACACCTGTGGTATGAATGCACCTGAGCTGCAAATCTGCACTGACAGGAAACTCTGTCGCTGCCAACAGTGATCTGATTCCTGAAAGTATCTTTTCAAGATTCAGTTTGACTGCCCTCAGTGTCTCTGTGTTCTCATATATGCATGATGCTAATGATGCTAATGATGCTAACGATGCTAATGATGCTCAGGTTTGAACATAGGGAACAAAGACACTGTGTGCTGACACACTGCACAACATCTTCCTAATGGGGTCATTCTTGGCCACTGGAGGCCGGCTCCATCCCCACAGACTCTCATGTTAAAATGTCCATAAAGAGTTCATCTTTTAAGGCTTTTCTAACAGCTGGGTGTAGCTGTTAGCGCTCTGCTAGCTGAACTGGACCTCTCATGCATGTTTGTGGTGTTGGAAGGAGTCTGCTCCACTTTTGAGGAGTCAAATCAAACGCTACATTTTTATGTGAATCAGTGCTAATTATCAGGTGCAGTTTACAGACGTTTCTTGTAGTGATAACTTGCTACATTATCCTCTTTTTGCTTTGTGATCCACGCTGGAAGTCACACACAGTCAGAGCAGTTTTTCTTTTTCATTTTTATTGACTATAAATACAAAAACAAGTGTTTGGAAAGCTGCACGGAGCTTTGAGGGTGTTGTGCTATTTTGTGTCTGAACCTCTACAACACAGCTGGAGAGGGCAGTGTTCGTATGACCCACAGGGGCAAAATAATAGGGAAAAAAATCAGGTGGAAATAATCGAACATTATCCGTTAACTTGCAGAGTGCAGCAACCTGGCAAAAAAGGAACATGAGGCGTGTTGAGCTTCCTTACCGAGGACGTTTCCTTTGAAAGGGCTGCCGTCGTCTTTCTTGCCCTGTTTTTCTTTATCAGCTGCAGAAGAAACAGAAGGATGGAGTCGGTTACATTCAGAAATCCTCTCTAAATAACCCCCAACAGTTTATTTTTCCCCAACGTGATGGAAAACAAAGATTTCAGCGTTTCCATCCAGGCGACGGCTTGAGATCATTTCTATTTCCTCGGGTGAAACCGACACTGCCTGACCGCTTGACTTCCTCTTCGCTGTCTTGCATCGTGTCTTTTGTGATCTGTTTATTGACTCTGTGTGTTTACTCTTCAGGACAGACTAAAGGAAGTGAAAGATGTCGGGGGATGTTTACTCGCCATCTGAGTTTCGCTCTGTTAGAGTCGAGGTGGGTCAGTCTGATGGTCTGTGTGTGCTTTGTGTGGCCAACAGTGGTGGGTGCCAATAAACAAAGAAGCAGCAGCGTTAGGGTTCTTGTGTTATTGTGGTTATTTTCCTGTTGACAAGCTTCATGTCTTCGTGCCGTCTGCAGGAGGATCTGCTGCGAATGTTAAACAGGGCATAGACTCCGGTTTGTACGTCTATCATTGTGGGGACCCTGGTATACATATAGCCCTTGTCCACTGGTCTCTACTTAGCTCGGCTTGACTCAGTTTGTAGACTTTTCCTATAAGGTGGAAACCTGTTTGCTCAGCTGGCGTTAAAAATTGATCTGAGTCGCAAAGTAAAATTACTTCTAAATTATATAACAGCATCCTGCGGTGTAAAAACGACAGCACTCTGTATATTAAAGCGAAGTGGGAAAAGGAGGGTAATTTGTCAATTACAGAGAAGTGTTGGGCTCACGCATGCAAGATACAGTGGGCTACCACTGGGTCTAATGTTTGGCGTGAATTTTGCTGGAAAAGCATTATGAGATTTTTCATCACCCCTGCTCAACAAAGATATCGAGGACTTGGTGATAAATGTTGGAGATGTGGGGGAGACGGAGCTAACCATTTCCACATCTTTTGGG